CATATCCTTTTTCCAAAGATAGTTTCTGTCATTTACTGTAGTTTCCATCACTTTGATGTAATTTCAAGTGTTCGTTTTTAAAATAAGTTTGTTTTTAGTTAGTTATGTGATGATAAAAACTGTGCATCATGATTGACAGCTGTGATTGACAGGTTCTCTGTGCGAGGTAGTCACTGAAGCACCAGCGGACTTTTTTAAATAATGTTGATTATGTGGTTAGTAGTTGTATTTACCTTATTTTAACGAGGTTCTGCAATCAGCAGACATCATTGGAGAAGATGAGGCCACTTAATGAAAGATCGGGGCGTGTGCTTGCGTTTGATTCAGCGAGAATGAGGGCGCGGCCTTGATTTCGCTGCTTTACTTCCTGCTCACGACTGCGCATGACTGGTCCCGAAACACGCAAGTGCGCAGACTCGGGTCCCAAGATGTCAGCGTCATATCGGGACATTGGCGGCTTAAGTTCTCTCTGATGGAAAAGAGCGAAGCGTCCATCTTTTTTTACAGTCTATGGTTGAAAGGTCAAGCGGGACGTAGGCGTAAGAACCGACATAGTGTTTACAAAGAGAACGTGCAAAGACTGACTCAAACGCTCTTTACAATATAAATAATAAATAAAAGGTAAAACAACGACGTTGGACGATTTCGAAGTTGGAAGAGAAAATTAGACGTTTTTCGCTCTTGCCAACATTTCTGAACCGGAACACACACAACATGATCACGTAATGTGTGAAGTTGTGGACGCGCAAGACGAGCATTTGTGGTTAAATGTGTATTTTGTTCTAAATGTCGGCTGGTTTGTCTAGATCAGACTCTTATTCCTCGGCTGGATCGTGTCTTTGAAGCTGCACTGAAACTCACATCTGGACCCCATTGAAGACACTATATGGAGAAACATCCGGGAGTGTGTTCCTCAAAAAAACATGAAATGAAAAACATGAATCGTGGGGAGAGTAAATGATCAGGAACTCCTGGTTTGGTGTAGTTCTGACTGTGATTGGCTGATATACGAGCGTCCCTCACTGAAAGACGCCGTTGTAGACCAGCAGCTGAGTGGCGAGAGTGGCGAGTGTGGCGATGGCGACGCCGAGCCCGAAGCCGCTGCGCGAGCGGTCGAAGGTCCACCACAGGCCCACGGACAGCGCGGCCAGCGTCAGAGACAGCTGCACGTTATTCACGAAGTCCACCTTCTGTCGGACACTGTGTTAAAGAAGAGTCTTCGTACAGGAGCAGGACAACACAAATCACTTCAGCATGTAGAGCGCCATCGTCCTGAACTCAACTGGACTTGGGTAAATATGAACCATATCAAGATATTTTCACACTTTATTCTGAGACATAAACGACAGCAGTGAAAGGCAAGCCCCTTGTGATTTTTTTTTAAAAGCTTTTAACAACTGTCTAAACACGTAATCTCATCTACTCACTCGTCCACTTTCACATCATTGTGTTTTGTTCATACCAACTAACTTTTTTGAAGCCTAAAGATCTCTTATTATGCTATTTTAAAATCAAATTTAGTTCAGCAGGTTCAGATCATCAGCTCTTTCTCAGCTTACAGCTTACTCTCCTCTGATTTGTCAGATGACCCAGTCTGTTGTGATTGGTCTGCTCTGATTGGTCAGATGGCCAAGTCTGTTGTGCTTGGTCTACTCTCCTCTGATTGGTCAGATGACCCAGTCTGTTGTGATTGGTCTGCTCTGATTGGTCAGGTGACCCAGTCTGTTGTGATTGGTCTACTCTGCTCTGATTGGTCAGATGACCCAGTCTGCTGTGATTGGTCTGCTCTGATTGGTCAGATGACCCAGTCTGTTGTGATTGGTCTACTCTGCTCTGATTGGTCAGATGACCCAGTCTGTTGTGATTGGTCTGCTCTGCTCTGATTGGTCAGATGACCCAGTCTGCTGTGATTGGTCTACTCTGCTCTGATTGGTCAGATGACCCAGTCTGTTGTGATTGGTCTGCTCTGATTGGTCAGATGACCCAGTCTGTTGTGATTGGTCTGCTCTGATTGGTCAGATGACCCAGTCTGTTGTGATTGGTCTACTCTGCTCTGATTGGTCAGATGACCCAGTCTGTTGTGATTGGTCTGCTCTGATTGGTCAGATGACCCAGTCTGCTGTGATTGGTCTGCTCTGATTGGTCAGATGACCCAGTCTGTTGTGATTGGTCTACTCTGCTCTGATTGGTCAGATGACCCAGTCTGTTGTGATTGGTCTGCTCTGCTCTGATTGGTCAGATGACCCAGTCTGCTGTGATTGGTCTACTCTGCTCTGATTGGTCAGATGACCCAGTCTGTTGTGATTGGTCTGCTCTGATTGGTCAGATGACCCAGTCTGTTGTGATTGGTCTACTCTGCTCTGATTGGTCAGATGACCCAGTCTGTTGTGATTGGTCTGCTCTGATTGGTCAGATGGCCCAGTCTGTTGTGATTGGTCTACTCTGCTCTGATTGGTCAGAGGACCCAGTCTGTTGTGATTGGTCTACTCTCCTCTGATTGGTCAGAGGACCCAGTCTGTTGTGATTGGTCTACTCTGCTCTGATTGGTCAGATGACCCAGTCTGTTGTGATTGGTTTATTCTGCTCTGATTGGTCAGATGACCCAGTCTGTTGTGATTGGTCTACTCTGCTCTGATTGGTCAGAGGACCCAGTCTGTTGTGATTGGTCTACTCTGCTCTGATTGGTCAGAGGACCCAGTCTGTTGTGATTAGTCTACTCTGCTCTGATTGGTCAGAGGACCCAGTCTGTTGTGATTGGTCTACTCTGCTCTGATTGGTCAGATGACCCAGTCTGTTGTGATTGGTCTGCTCTGATTGGTCAGATGACCCAGTCTGTTGTGATTGGTCTACTCTGCTCTGATTGGTCAGAGGACCCAGTCTGTTGTGATTGGTCTACTCTGCTCTGATTGGTCAGATGACCCAGTCTGTTGTGATTGGTTTATTCTGCTCTGATTGGTCAGATGACCCAGTCTGTTGTGATTGGTCTGCTCTGATTGGTCAGATGACCCAGTCTGTTGTGATTGGTCTGCTCTGATTGGTCAGATGACCCAGTCTGTTGTGATTGGTCTACTCTGCTCTGATTGGTCAGATGACCCAGTCTGTTGTGATTGGTCTGCTCTGATTGGTCAGATGGCCCAGTCTGTTGTGATTGGTCTGCTCTGCTCTGATTGGTCAGATGACCCAGTCTGTTGTGATTGGTCTACTCTGCTCTGATTGGTCAGATGACAGAATGCCTGTTACAGTACATCAGGAATGAGCATTTGTGATGTTGTGCGAGAAGGATACAGCGCTGGCATGATTTATGCCCACGAACACGGCCACACAGCGCATGACATTCGACCACTCCCTCTTGAGGTTATGCGGCTCCCCGAGACGCCGGTCTATACAGGGGTACAGCAAACCTATCAGCGCTGAAAACACAAGAGGGACAGTCAATCAAACCGCTCATGCAATGTCCGAGTCACATCATAGAGCTCACAATCCTGATCAGGGTGTGTGTGTGTGTGTGAGAGCGTGTGTGTGTACCTGCAGCCGTCCCACAGCAGGGAGGAACCCACCAGGCGGAGGAGAAGATGCTGCTGATGACGTCTGGAGGGAAGAGCGTGACGTTGCGCTGCACCTGCAGCAGGTTCAGCACGAGCGCGAGGAACACTCCCACCATGAAGAGCAGCGCGGCACGCATCAGCAGGTTCAGCACGCGGCTGGTGACGGCGCTGATGTACGGCCCGCGCGGCACCACACCGTTCACAGTCTCCGCCATGACCACCAGGACTGAAGGACGAGCGCTACATCTGAGACATCACATGCCTGTCAGAGAGAAAGAGATCATAATGCTGATCCTACAATCCCCATATACTTGGATATTGATATAATACCGCGTTCATTGCCATGTGGAATGGCTCTATATTTATATCAGACGAGCTGCAGTGTCAATCGTGCCTAAAAAAAGATTGTTTTATCAATAAAATAAAAAACACTAATTTCACATATATTGTCTTTCAAGAATTCAAGCACTTTTTATAAATATGGCTGTTCTCAAGGGTTTGCCAGAGCTTCAATTTCAAAAAGTACTTAAAGCACCTACTATAATAATACATGCAGCCTTAAAGACTTCAAATCATTAAAACATCTAAATTATTCAATTTTTTTTGAGCAGTAAGGTCATTTAATAGCAACTAATCACATTGTCCTAGAAATTAAGTAACTGGGAATTTAATACCATATTTGAGAAATATACACACTTAAAATCTGCAGATATCACACACACACACACACATACACACACGCCATGATGGGTCACTCCTGGTCATGTTAGTTCAATATCTCTCACTGATCAAAGGCCACATCAGCAGGACAGGAGGCCTTCAGCTTCACCTCCATTACTGTCTCTGTTAACCTCCCATTTTTCCTGGATTACGAGCAATAATTATTCATCAATAAAGCACACAGTGAAAATACTAATAGGATGAAGAGGATGAATTCTCCAAAACATCACCATAACATTACAGCTAAACTCGTAGTTTCTGACCCAGTGAGAGACAAAAAAACGGTAATATCCTAAATCAGCTGACTTTCTAACTCTTATTACAATCTATATCTAATAACACGTCACAAACTACTCACCTTTGTGCAGTTTTAACGAATCGTCTCTCTTTCCCTGAGTCTGAACTGTGATATTAAAGTCCTAAGCGAAAGAATCCCGTGGATAATGCTGCTGAATTTCCGCCCCGCTGCTGGCGTGGCTCCCTCCGCAGCCAATCAGAAGGGGCGCTGGTGACGTAATGAAAAACCGTTTGATAACGCACAATGTTTTTTTTAGTTTCCGAAGCAAGCTAAAACAACTTAAACAACTTAGCAAACAACTTATGTTGTTATTCGTGCGCATGTAATTCTCACAAAAGTTGACAAAATGTTAATATAAAAAACAGTTTTTACAGTATTCTGAAATCCCGCGCAATCTCGCGCGAGTTTACGCACTTCTTCTCACCTCCCATTTCCGCTCTGAATTTTCACATTCCCGCCATCATCGGCTGCTCGTGTGACTCGCGCGCAGAAATCATCATCATCATACCCGGCGAAACTCACACACCGCCAGAGAGAGTTACATTAAGAGGATATATTCATCCCCCAGCGCTTTCTTTCAGGAATTACCCTCCCGCAGGTAAAAGATATGTGGTTTATGTGCCGACTTCGCCCAGGGTTTTACTCAGAATGGTCAGTTAGCAGAACCAAGCCTATCTCTCGGCCTGGGCTGCTAATGCTAGTTAATTAGCCGCGTGTGGATGATGCGTGTGTCATTATTTCACCGCGACGAGTGAGGATACCGCAGAATAAAGACCCGCTTCAGAGAAATACCCGAGTGTTGCTGTCTTCCGAGGCGGGGAGGACGCGAGCGTTAGGCGGCTCGGCTGGTTTAAAGCGCGCGTGTGATGTCTTGACGTTTGATGCGTTTGTTTACCTTCATCTCTACTCACTGTAACTTCTGTAAACATGCGGGACCTCGAGCTCTCACACACGAGAGCTTTAGCAGAGATATGATGCAAAGTTAGTGGACGGTGAATGTCAGAAGTTTGCCACAGTGACGCTCAAGGCTTTTGGAGCTACAATGATGTGGTTTGACTTAAGGGATTTTGTTTTGTCACGTGGTATTTTCGTAAAGTTGCGAGGAGTTTATCGCTTTAATGCAGAATTACACTGTGATGTAGTTGTCTGAGAGGTAGCGAGGGTTGGTTTTAGATGTGTAGGATGTTATTAAAATAAAGCAAGCAGATTGTTATAGTAATAGTTAACCCCAAAAAGAAAAAAAAAACATTTGTTTTACAAAACTGAGTTTATTTCTTCTGCTGAACACAATAATGATATTTTGAATAATGCTGGGAGACAGAGAGCTGCTGTTTATTTACTAACATTAATCCAAAATATCATGTTTTGTGACGGGATACATAAATATCTTCTATAATGAATGAATTTACATTTTAAGGTGAACCAGCGCTATCCCTTTTATAGTCCATTAATTTTATCTTCTATATGTGTTGAGTAAGAAAAGCCCTGAAGAATCCCTTAAGTTTCCCTTAATTTTGGCTTAAAATGACTGGATTATTAAGTGATATTTGCACTTGACACTGTGACTTTGAGAAAGTATGGCATAGTTTATTATTTGGGAGTTGGAGTAGTTTGTTTTCTAAAAAAAAAACTTGTGCTGGTAGTTTACTCACCCTCATGTCATCCAAGATGTCCATGTCTTTTTTTCTTCAGTCGAAAAAAAATAAGGTTTTTGATGAAAACATTCCAGGATTTTCTCCATATAATGGACTTCAATGGGGTCCAAACGGTTCAAGGTCCAAAAGACATTTTCAGTGCAAACTGTTCAAAGGGCTTTAAACGACACCAGACGATGATTAAGGGTCTTATCAAGTGAAACCATCGCTCATTTAATAAATAAATAACAAATGTCCATCATGTAATAGTGTCTCCTTCACAACAGATGAGACATTCAGGTTCAAGTCTTCCTTAATAATTGTATCCCTCAAAACTAAGGACGCATCGATATGGACATTTTGGCCGATATATTGGCCGATAAACCTAAATTCAAATTACAGGGTTTGATAGCCTGAATACATAAACAAAAGCCTCATCCCAAACACTTCAACATAAATCAGTCATCATGTACAGTGTTAGATTCCTTAACTTTAAGTTAATTTACACTCCTATGGCCAACTTTCCTTATTACAAAATGGTAACACTTTATAATACAAATTACTTGAAGTTGTGACAGTGACAATATTGTTATTGTAGGCTAACTAACAACAAAACATATTTAATTAACTAACATTATCAAAAGCTATTGCTCTGTTAGTTCATGTTAGTTAATTAATTAATAAAAAAGACCTCATTGTAAAGTCTCACCTAAACATCTATTGTCTAGATTAAATATAGTCCACAATGCTGATGTTGTTAAAGAGATAGTTCACCTACACATGTAAACTCTGTCAGTAATTATTACTGACTCTCATGTTGTTCAACCCGTTCATCTTCGGGACACAAATTAAGATATTTTTATATTCTCTGATTAAATCAGAGAGCTGGATCAGGCCACATTTACACATAGCCGTGTATTTAGAGAAACAAATATTTCCCCCCTCCGTTTTCAACATTGTGCACACAACGTCATTTTCCAAAAAGCTGTAATTTACATCGACCGTCGAGCGCCATCATAGCTGGGTGCTCACATGACGTTTTCTGGCACATAATGTGATGTTTCTCCCAGTCGACACAGCAAAGCATAACCTGCGTTATCAGAAATCTTCACTTTGGCCGAAGTTTTCAGTGATAAAAACAGGGTTTTCGAGTAAATTTCGAGGCCAAACCGCAGGGAAATGTGTGCATCTTCCCTCCGTATAAACGGGGCACCGCTTCTGTGTAATTAGAAACTGTCCGGCCTAGAAAGTTAGTAAAGACATCATTAAAATAGACAGGCCTCGTCAATCAGCCAACAGGAGCGCATAGAGATGAAGGGCATCTAGAATTGGAATGGTTTATTTATATGAATGGTATATCTGTGTGTTAAGTTGTGTATCGTAGTGTTGTGATTCCCTGTCCCGCCCACTTCCACTAATATATTTGCCCGTCCCAATCCCGGGATTAATAGTGATCTTGATTCCCGAATGTCCGCCTCTCCTGTGTTTGAGCGTGTGAAGCCAGCTCTTGTGGAGATGTCCTGCTCCACTTGTACGCATGGAAAGAAGGATTATAGGATGACGGGACACTCGTTTATACACACTTTATTCAACAGGAACAACTCATTCGTCATTACGCTATTTCTACATCATCATCATCGCACATGCGCAGTGCTTTCAGTTTCGCTTCTCAATACGATCAAGTGTTCACATTAGAGCCCGACCGATAAAGGATTTTGAAGGCCGATACCGATACAAATATTTTTGAGTTTTAAATTCCGATATATCGGCCGATATTTTATTTATTTATTTGAAACTGGACATGATAGTCACAAATTTTGTCATGCTTATTTGAGTTAAGAGAACTGATGCGGATGATCTTTTAATTGTTATTCAAGCGATGTATGTATCGTGACAACAGGGACAATGTAGAGTGCCCTCTGGTGGACAAACTATACAACTCCAACACTCATGACATGGTTCAAGCGTGTTTCGTCCATTTTTATTTTATTTTTGAAATATTCATTTATCGGCCATTATAACTGCCGATACCGATAGTTTGGAAAATGCCTAATATCGGCCGATATATCGGTCTAGTTCACATGTTCCCTCGATCGGATTAGAAAAGGAATAAACTTCCTCTTTCAATCCGATCGAAATTTAATTCGATGACTAATGGGTTATTTGGTTGCATGCATTGCAGATGTAGCCACTGCTCAGTGGGAACCCCATCTCTGATGTTTAGCAATCTTATGTGTGTGTGTGAAGTGTTGACGTGTGGGCTTGCCTCTGGTCTTCTGTCAGGATCATTGGCCTCTACGTGTGCCGGAGATCGAGGAGGTCCTGATGTCTGTCTCCGGGCCCAGACTGACCAGCGGCGGCCCGGTCCGCATACGCATCCGCTGTGGAGAACTGGGAACCACCAAATGGAGAGAGGGCGTCTTCGAAATCCACGAGAGAGACAACAAAATAAACCTGCAAGTGAAGTTCAACAGCGGCGGAGCGCCCAGGATGTTCCAGGTGCACACACACACACACCGTCTTTAACACACGTGGAGCAGTGGTCAGGCAGTTGTAGGGTGTTTTTATTAGTTTATTGAGAAAAAAAAAAAAAAAACGCATGTGTTTTTGAACTATTATATTTGATGCATCAGTTTTTTATAAGTCGTATAGTGAGGATATCAAGGGGAAAAACAGCTCGGTTTTATTCAGAAGCCAAAACTGAATATGCTGATATTCAAATGGACCAAGTCATATAAATATTAGTCGTCTCTATATATGAAGAGTTCAGATGCAAAAGCCTCTAAATGCCATTTGAAATTTTCTTCTTTAATGATAATTTTTATCAAACTTGTATATTTAAGTTCAGTAATTTCACTTAAATAACAATTAATAGGTAATCATCATTGCCATTTAAGTGAAATCACTGAACTTAAATATACAAGCTTGATAAATTATCATTAAAGAAGAAAATTTCAAATGGCATTTAGAGGCTTTTGCATCTGAACTCTTCATATAATGTGTCTTAGTAATATGATATTTAATTAGGGGTGTTTAATTAGCCAGAAGGACCGGAGGACGAAGTTTCTTTAGCAAGGTTTCATCATTTAGATGCTTTAGAAACCACTATAAGAGACGCAGTCTAATTAAGACACGAGCATTAAATGTGTTTTCCGGATGTTATTTAATCTCATTTTGTGTTTATTTTATTTCAGCTGAATCACAATGTAAAGCAGGTTTCGTGGTATCAAACGCACTGCCCGACCCGAATGACTTTGACTCTGAAAGACTCGAGTGTTGTCATGATGGAAAAAATGAACATGTTGGTGGCCAAAAAAATGAGGGAATACCTTGAGAAGGTCCGGCTCGGCAAACCAGCAGGTACATGTGTCTGCCCTCACTGCCGCTAGTCCTCGCGCCCCGTCAATCATACACGTATACATTAGGGATGTGCAACGAGTTATAGCGATCAATCACATCTAAAATAAAAGTCTGTTTGCATAATGCGTGTGTGTACTGTGTATAATTATTTTGTATATATAAATACACACACATGCATGTAAGACATATTTGCATGTATATACTGTAGATTTTGAATGAAGTCGGACTTGTCACGCACTCAGATGAATTTGTGTTCGGACATTTTAGACTCTCCGAAGTGTCTGGGCACAGGAGGACACATTATTACTCAAAAACGCAACTACTTGTGGTGTTTCTGCGTTGAGCATTGTGGCCAATCACGGACATGTATGTTAAGCGCATGAACATAGTGGCCAATCAGAGGCGTTTTAGAGTCAACAAGAGGAGAGTTCGCCCAATGTATGTTCAGAATCAGCACAAGCTTTATCCTTTCGCAAACCCCTTCATAAACCGAGTCTAGACGCTAGGATCACTGCAGTGCGGACAACTGCGGCGTTAGGACGAGAGCGCAGTAAGGAAGTGATGGCTTAACGGGAGCGCTGTTGACAGTCTATATAATAGTTGTGTTTTCTGTGCTTCTAGAGCACCAGTGGTAACGTTCACACTGTAAAGTGTAAAGCGTGATAAATGCATTTAAATGTGGGAGTGAATCTGCGAAACTTTAGTCCTGTGAATGTCATGAAGATGCGATGATTGACGTAGTAACCATAGCAACATTTTGGCGTCTAATAATATTATAATTTGTTACATTTACACTTTATTCATAAGTTTTAGGGCTTGTTCGAATACCCTCTTATTGAGTAGTAATGAACACATCGAATAGTCGAAGCTTCGGAATCTCTAAATATCCGTCTGTTTGTTTGCATTTTGATTATTTCGAGAACCGTTCATCCAAATATATATATATATATATATATATATATAGACAGGCGAGACGTGAAACGTTCAGAATGAATAAACTTTTAATAAACGTACTGAACGGCGCGAGCGGGAAGCGGCGCGCCTCACGCGAGCAGAGCTTATGCTCTGAGAAGGGACCCTGCAAAACACACACACAGGTCTGTTAACTTAAGCAACATTTTTAATATGTTAGTCTAATATATTTTTCACTAACAAATAACTGCCAAAGTATGGTAGATTTAAATAAAGAAGCGGCGTGCGCGCCTCACACGAGCAGGGATTATACTCCGAGAATGATGGACACTGCAACTTAAGCAGTATTTTTAATAAGGTATAGTCTTCTCACTGACAAAGTATGGTAGATTTAAATAAACGGAATTTAAATGAATAAAAACGAAATGTAAATAAATAAAACGAAATTTAAATAAAAACAAAATTTAAACAAATATAACATAAAAACGAAATTTAAATTAATAAAAACGAGATTTAAATAAATACAAACGATAAGAATAAAAAGAAACTAATAACTTGAATATAGAAAAACAATAACTAAATTGTGAAATTGAAATTGTGAGGTCCCAGTAAAATCTCAAAGTCTTAATTTAAAAAATTCTCAAAAAATCTCAAAAACTTAATTTAGATTGATAATAAAGGGTAAAAAGGATAATACGTTTTGTTTCTATTATTCTATTTTCCACAGTGTCAAAGCAACACAGCTCAAAATACAAAAAGTATAAAGATGCCCTATACTGTGAAATTGAATATATATTGGCATAGTTAAATAACAAGAGTTCAGTAGATGGACATGACATACAGTGAGTCTCAAACATCATTGTTTTCTCCTTCTTACTTAAATCTCGTTTTTAAAAAACACCCCTAAAAAACAAGCGAATCTCCACATAATACCGACTCTGACGTAAAAGTCGGGATCATTAATATGTATGACCCAAAATATTTGCATATGCCAGCCCATGTTCAGTGACAGACGAGACGGAGCTGCGCAGCTGAAGCATGGCCGTTGATCAGTGTTCGGATGTACACATGAACACAAAAGTATTTTTAGTTCCTTCATCCGAGCCTCTGAAGAAACAATGGATTAATTTTATTTTCTCTGGAAATTTTCAACCATTTCACCGACGACTGTTTCCTCAACTTGCCGAGAGCTGGCCTCGGACCGAGCTGATGTGTTATTGGTGTTCAAGTTCAGACAGGTAACGTTAACGTTAATCTTTCACTCAAAATCGTTCAATACTGTTTATGCATCAGTAAGTCAAGCCAGGGACTTCACATCGTTTCTTTTAGTAGGATGAAAAAATTATAATAATTGTGAATAAATTGTATACAGAAAGCGATCAATATCTTTCCACACAGCGCGAGTTTATCTGGACACTTGCCAAACTTGTTATGAATTCAATGAATTCGTTACTCTGCACAACGAAGCTCTTGCTGTATTTACATGATCGTGTCTGCATTAGTGAAAGCAGAGAAGGCAGAAATTGCGTTGCAATGATAAGATCTTCATCCTCGCGATCGACAGGCTGTCTGTCCTCTGCTTGCTCAATACTCAACACAGCAACATTTTATGTGATGGGAATAGATCTAAATACTTCAAAAACATCTCACGATTCGTTAATCTCGATAGCTGTAATAGAAAAAAAAACTATTATAGCTGGAGTAAAATTGTTCGAAACAGTTTCACATGTAATACTTAGCTATTTTATATGCAAGCATGTCAGCCAATCACAGCAGAGGCCGGTGTTCTGACAATTCATGCTACCCATCAAGATTTGCTACTTACCGGTTATGCGCATGTGCAGACTCACAGATTTTTTTTTTTATTTTTTTTTTTTTTACAAAAGGTACATTTTCCTGTTATAATATATAATCTCCCTTTAAAAAATGCTTACTACCATATGAATATTTGTACGGCCAGCCAGCTGAAAAAGAATAACTGAAATTTTCAGTTACTATGAGGAAAGGTGTACTTTGACAAGTCAAAGATGAATATTTTATGATAATTTTTACTTTTCACACCGTTTTAAAAGTAAAAATAGTCGTCGACAGTATACAGTAGCTACTCATAACTTAGAATTGTATTATAATTCTATTTCATACGACTTTATTTGGCATTCTGTGATCAATTTGCGCTACGGTAGCATTTTTCGACAAGGCAGCAAAAATCGACAGAACACCGGTTACACACAGCAGACACGCCCCTTCAAACAGAGTGTTCAGATCAGAGGCTAAAATCAGGCTAATAGTCTAAATTATGACTATTTTTGATCTACAAAACATACTAACATTATAAGGGCAACCCAGGAAACATTATAAAATAATTAAAAAAAAAACAGTATAGGGCACCTTTAAGTAGCTATAACGAAGTTATAGGTTAAGTATTATATTTTACCAGATTTTATAGTATAAAACATATTCAAGCGCGAATGAGAACCGTTCCCGAGTGGGATGCAGGTGTGCAAAAAAACAGACAAAACAAAAACGAATATTCAAATATCACATTTTCAAATCGAAAACCAACCCACCGAACGACTATTCGAATATTCGGGTCCAGCCCTAATAAGTTTACATACATCTTTCAGAATCTCCAAAATGTATTTATTTATTAGTAAGGGTTATAAAAAAAAAGTTTATTATTTAGTACTGCATTGAAGAAGCTTTTTCACACAACAGACAAAATACAAACACAAAATACTTGATTTTAACTGCGTTTACACGGAAACGACTCTGAAGAGAAAAAGCAAAAGTGGCGTTGCGTCATCACTTATTCTGCGTTTAGACGAGCGTCAACAATACGCAGATGATCAGTCATTCAGCGCGGTGTGACCATACTGTCTATGGGTGTGGCAAGCAATGACGCGTCACCATGGAAACCATAAAGGGAGACGATCTAAATAACGGGCGCCTCTAAAAACTTTTAAATTTACGTGTGAAAAGGTTAAGTAAGGCTTACATTTTTAAATGCGTCCTCGTTTTGTTTTGAGTTTATGCTCGATAAATAAAGGAACTAATAGAGTTGGGCACAAAATTACCACATTTTGTCCCGTTTGTCACGCCCAGTGTTGTTGGGTGTAACTAATTACTAAGTAATTAGTTACTGTAATTTAATTACTTTTCCCTTGAAAAAGTAAAGTAAGGGATTACTCTTCATTTATCTGTAATTTAATTACAGTTACTTCTGATGTAATTGAGGTAAATACTGTGTATAGATCAATCCGATCTCACAGCGATTCGCATGCATTTTATGAGGAATCTAAATGGCACTCGTACAAATTCGTATGAATTATTGTAAAATATCTATGGAAAAAGTGTGAAATGTCATGAGATCAGACATAAAACAATAGTGGGTTTAACATCGAAATATATTGTCTGATGTTAAAAAGTATGTTTTTATAATGTAACCTTCTCCACCTAGGTTCATGCAATTTTATAGTATTTATTTGAAGGAATTAAAACTGATGTCTATCCTTGTATTATTCAGCTGGTTGAGACTGATATGGGATTTTGAAAGTAATTAAAAGTAATAAGATGCTTTTAAGAGAGAGTAATTAGTATAGAAATCTAATTACACTGTTGAAGAGGTAATTAGTAACTAGTAATTAATTACTTTTTTAGAGTAACTTACCAAACACTGGTCACGCCCCACCTGTCATGTTTCTATTCCCCACCAGTAGGGCGCGCCCCACACTTTGAGAAACGCTACAGTACACACACATATTTTGTAAAGACAAACTTTAATTTTTGGATGTGATTAATCGTCGCACAGCCCTACTGTCAACTCTTTCTTGTTTAAGTCATGTTAACTTTTGTGTTTGTCCTTTAGTATTAAAGACGAACCAGGGAAGTGCTAGTTTTGGATTAGTTCTTGGGAATCGCGCGGCACAGAACGACTCGGCTCTTTCTCCATCAGATAAACAGGTAGCGCAGCATCACGAGCCCTCAAACACTCTTCAACTCTTCTTCAGACGTCACATGACTGAGCTGTTGTGTGTTCCAGACCCCCCCGAGGCGTCCCAGCCTGGACAGCAGAGAGGACGGCACCCCCCGAAAGCCCCTCGCGAGCCCCAGCCGGGCCACAGCCACGCCGGGCCGGACCGGGCTCTCCGAGAACAGGTGCGCACATGTGATGCCTCTAGCAGCGCTGCCCTCGATTACTGATTTTCGTTTATCGAAATTTAAAAATATTACTGTTATTGTGTCATGAAATGTCATTTTAAGAGTTTTTTAGTCGAGAATGTAGTTGTTTAAAGCTCAAATATGTGGTTTATTTACTATCTAAGTACTTTCTATCTTTTATCTACTATGTAAGCTAACTAAAAAACACTAAAAAACGAGAAATGTTTAAATTTACAATCTACAGCTTCGTTTATATACTAGTATATGAAACAAGTTAAAATACGTTAATGACTCCTTATAACGTACTTCAAACGTCTCTTATAATAAAGTGATTTTCTCTAATTTGTAACCAGGCACTAAAGCGATTACCCATAAAACTAGCTTTGAACCAATCGGATTGCATCTCTTCAGGGGGACTCATCTCTTCACCACACCGGCGGTGTGCACTTTGTGTGTGTGTGAGTGAAAGAGAGAGACGCGTGAGTGAGGGAGAGTGGAGAAATACAACTGAAGGAATACTCTGCGTGTTTGAAATAGCGTTTAAGTAAATGCAGTATGTGGCGGCGAATTAGTGTATGTGTGGGAAACACTGCATAAGTCACGTGCGAACTTCTTGGCTCGGCACTGACGGCTTTTAACGTCGAGTTTCTTAACATTTTGCCGACGAAAGGAGAGCCGTGGAAAGCCGCTTCGCCGTGCTTTCATTGTGTTGATTTCGTCACCCTGTGTTGCCCAGATTTGCTTTCCCCGTCTGCATTTTCACCAGACGCTCTTCTCCCACACAAACAGAATTTCAAACCAAATATGTCAAATTCCACGAAATTCATTGTTAATTTGCCAATTCAGTCCGCGATTCCATGATCACAGAAATCATAGGGCCCTAGAGGACGGATTCGAAGAGACCGGCTTGTAGTTCATTCCAAACCCCAACGCAAACTCCACGTGAGACGAAGAAAATAAAACTTCTGTCCAGTGCCAGACGTCGGAATAAGACGAGAGTCAACATCGGGAAGCTTTCAACAAACGGAGAGATCTCCGGTCGACTCTTGGGCTCAAACGGGTCCTATACAAAGTAATAACTTGTATTGTTCATGAATGTGTTTCCATAATAATACAATCATGAGTGGATACAGTAAGCACATAAAACAGTTCAATATGGAGATGGATGGAAACAAAAACCAAAGTTTTCTTCCCCCCCCCCCCCCCCCCACACACACACACACATTTACTCAAATACCTTTCCTTTCATATGTTTTAAATGGCTTGCAGATTTATAACTTTATTACCTCATTATGACTAACAAAAGATGTGTGCGGCTAATGCTCCTTTGCTTATTCAGCTCGTGCGAGTGTGTGTGTGTGGTCCATGAGCGTGCACACGTCTGGTTGCAGTTTCGCTTGTCGCCAGAGGGGGCGTAGTTCTGCTAACACTCAGACTTGCACAATGCACCTTTAAAAAGCCATTAATCATGATAATGCACCTTTAATTGCCTATATAATAGTCATAGAGCTACATGATATTCAATAAATAATGCGATTATGCTTAAAGTGTGTTAAATAAACTTAATTATCTTTAAAATATATTTAAAATGATATAACCTACATGCGTGTTTCACATTCTTATGTGTTTATATCTTCTGGCAGTGCTTTATTGAAGTGTTATACATTTTATATATATATATATAAAATATATATATTTTTTTTATATTTTGTTTCACTTTTTCAATTCACTTTTATTTGTGTAGCGCTTTTCACAATGCACATCATTTCAAAGCAGCTTTACAGAAAATACACGAGTCCACATTACAATCTAGAGTGATCAGAGACTTATGTATTTTAGATATTTACAAATGCAAATTCACAGTTAGTGAAAAATGTATTAATTTAAACAATATGATCATTAAAGGCATAAATGATGAGCTCATTGAAGTAATGAATACTTTAGATTCTGATTATGACATTTAGAAAATATCTACATGTTAACAGAGTTTGCTTGAAGTTGTGATATTTTGGGGAGCATGTTAATAGCCTTGACCTGCTGTCCTGTAGGAGTGAGAAGAGGAAGCGGCTGATGACCTCTGACGGAGATCTGGCCGAGGACTATCCCAAAGAGAACGACTCCTCTAGGTACGTGTGTGTGTGTGTGTGTTGACACTAGGGCTGCAACAACTAATCGATAAAATCGATTATAATCGATTATGAAAATCGTTGTCAACGAATGTCATTATCGATTAGTTGGTCTGATTACGTCACGGGGATTGTTTACATGGAACATGCGCTTCTTACATGCGCTTCATGAGGCGCACATGCAGTCTCTCTCCCTCGCCGCTCTACCCTGTCTCGCGCGCGCAACACGGACGGTTTGGAGCACATTATCTTCTGTCTCGCATGCGCGCTCTTGATTCCGTGAGTTTGAACTAATTTGCGGGCATCAGGAAACCGCTATCAATATGCAGCACACGAAAATCATTCACCTTTCGGTAAATTCGCCGTTTTGAAACCAAAATAGGTGACCTACGTTAATCGTGTATACTTTATGAAGCCATACTGTAGTATAATGTGAGATAGAAATGTATATTTAAGTCATTAAATTCAAGTTAACCTAAGCTTTTCCCTCCACTGCGGCTGTCAGTCATTCTCTATTCGGTGTTCAAACAGCGCGTCGCGTTACAACAGTTAACATGATGATCTCTTTCCAAGATGATTCAATGTTATTATTATAATTGATCCGTAGATAAAGGTCTATGATGGTTTTGAAATCTTATTAATAGCCTTTCTTGTTCTGTCCTATCTATTATATTTTGCTTCCTCACTAAACAGCTGTGCTTTACATTTAAAACAGCTGTGCATCTGATTTTTACGATGTTTTTCATGAATGTATAACAACAATACAAAGAGCAATGTGTAACGTTTTACCAGAGTTAGTGCTACACTTATTGTCTCTTATTTGTTCCCCACTAAGGAATGTTTTTTTCACTAAATGTTTAGATTTTATAAAATTATTGTGCACTTGTGATATTTCTAGGCTAAGTTTTGCTGAGTTATCCACTAATCTAGTTTACAATAGCATTTTTGTCATAGGTTATGGTCATATATATTTTTTTATTTGTTGTTTTTCTTTATAATGAAGTTATCTGTATTAAGTAGATTGTTTAACACACAAAAGAGTGTGGTTTTTAGGGTTTTATTTTGTTATAATAAACAAAAAAGAAATATAATTTTTTATCCGATTAATCGATTAATCGAAAAAATAATCGTCCGATTAATCGATTATCAAAATAATCGTTAGTTGCAGCCCTAGTTGACACTACTGTGCAGACGTTTAGGGGTTAGCGAAGCCGGTCAGGTTATGAAGTCTGGTTCATCACGCAAACGTGCACGCGCTACAAGACTTGATCACACACTGCAAGCTAATATTAAAGCAGTGGTTCCCAAACTGGGGTACATGTACAAAACACTGAGTCTTGCCCAGGACACTTGAGGTCAGGAACTGAATACTTCTTATAAAATGAATTTTGATTCTTCTGTGAGCATTTCAATATGATGTGATCAGTTTTTAATGTTTTATGCTGTTTTCAGAGCGGCAGGCGTGATGAGTAACTATATAGTGCAGCTCTTAAAGTGACAGTAGCCTAATATTCCTGCAGCCGCCTCTATAATAACATCAGTCAAACAACAAGAGACAGAAAACTCACTTGTTCTCCACTGAATAACTTCTGTAACTGCACTTTATGAATAAAATATACATTAAAAATAGTGTTACGTTTACATTTGATCACGGTTTCTCTTCCTGAATACATGAAAATTGTTAAACTATTTGTTTCAAACATGTTTTTGTTCCTTTGTATCTGTTTATTGCGATTGCTATTTTTTACTAGTGTTTACTTAATAATGTGTTTTCATAATGCTTGATATTAACCCTCTGGGGTTGTTTGTTTCAGAGTCACACTCGGGGTGTTCGGGTCCAAAGGGCGGGATTCTTTTTTTTTTTATTATTATTCTTTTTTTAATAATATTTTTTCTTTTCTTTTTTGGTGTTGAGAATTAAAAAAAAAATAATAATAATTAATATTAATGCAATAATTATGACAAAATCCCCCCCCCCCATTGAACATCATAGAAAAAATATTTAAAAAAAAATATATATATATATATATATTTTTTTTTAAAAGCTGTATTTCATTTTCAAGTTTTCATTTCAGTCAAGCCTAGGCCTCATAAAAGCAATTTTTGAAATGAGATGGATGCCATCTGGTGGACAAACTGAGCATTTTAAAAATGCTCATGTAACACATGTATAATCTGAATTTTTTGGTGTGTTTGCAAAACAGACACATCCAGACACACACACACACACACACTTTTATACACACTCTTGATGTTATAGATTCACTCCTTCACTGTTGTGTGCTTTTTTTTTTTTCAAGATCGTGGCTGATTTGTAGATTGTACGCACAAAAAAACTCAGTATTTTTGCCAATTTCCCATTCATTTTCCATGCGGGTCCATTTGGACCCGAACACCCCAAGTGTGACTATTTTTTGTTTTACAACCACTTAGACTATTCACATCCTGTCCCCAATTTTTTTTTGGGTGTTCAAATACCAACAAAGTCACCAAATTTCGGACCATTCCGAGGAAGCTGTGATTTAAAAAAAAAACAGTGTTTTTGATCAAATGTTTATTTTACAGTGTTTATGATCAAATGCAGACTTGGTGAACATTTTTTTTTCCCCAAAAACATTAAAAATGTTTTGTACTTAAATGAGATCTTTATTTGTCTGGTTTTCAGCAACAATAAGGCCATCCCAGACGCGTCCAGGAAGTTCCTGCTCAGCTGCAAAGAGAAGCTCAAGCAGTCGGAGGAGAACCGAGCGTCGGGTTAGTGCTCGTGTGTTATCTGCTGTACGCTTCTCAACCCGATTCGTCACACTTAATCCCTGCTGTGTTTCCTCAGCTCCACACACTCCTGCTCCTCTTCAGCCAACGTCCTTCTATGGGGGCCGATCAGGGAGTAAAGACTACACACAGACACACTCGTTTCTGGACAGGTAAAGAGCACGGGACTCAGTGGTGTTGCTTATTGTGCACTAGGGCTGTCAAAATGGATGAAAAGTACTTTTTTCTTATATATTACCAAATATATTTGAATTCTAAAGGCAATAGTTAAAGCTGCAGTCTGTAACACTTGACGCTCTAGTGGTTAATAAACAGAACTGCATGTGGCATGACCTGAACCAGTCTAAAATAGTTATTATAGGTGTGGCGTAAGATAAAACTCAGGATAAGACAAAAACACGGTTTGGAAAGTGGATTCATGATGTCCTCGCTCATTTTATTATTATTCAATATGCACAAGCACATTTTCCTGAGCATGTTATTGGCCAAGGCTTTCCGTCCCTGGAACAAGCTTGGAAAGCCTGATTTTCCTTTTTGCACAGATGACTGTTTTTGAAAAATTATTTGGGGCTTAAACCATTTTGCCCAAATAGAAGGAAAAAAATCAGGGAAAATACTTCAATGTTGGAGGATAAAAGTACTGTGTTGTCTCCTATGCCCACTAGAGGGCGCAAGCAAATATAAACCAAATCATTTTTACTTGAAACTAAATGACATTCACTTTTTAAAGTGCATTATGTTTTGAAACAATTGTTCTGAAATAAAATATAAGTTCCTTAATGTGCATCCAAGGAAAATTAGGTTACAAAAGTGCATAAAACAGTGTTTGTGTATCAGTGACATCACAAATAACACCAGATAGCCATTCAGCTGCACTCCACTTCTCCTCACTACATCTACATATTCATGTTCATGTTCATCAAGAACACCAGACGCTCAGCTGGATCTGTTTCTGTTGACAATGTGCCCAGCTGATGAACACTCACGCACACTCCACTCTATTTTTGCCTCCAACTGAGTGTTTTCGTCAGCGGGGCTTTTCCCGCCATTTTTAAATGATCTAACAAAAAAAAAAACACGTTCGTTATGTCATCATGTCCCGCGCGCCTCTTGACACCCCCAAAAATGTGCAGTTTCTTACATTCAATGAATATTGACATTTATTTGACAGCCCTACTGTGCACTTTCTATCTACAGCCATTACGCACATGTGATCAAAGATCAAGCAGAATACTAGGGTTGGGTAATGAATATCGATTTCTCGATATTAATCGATTCTCATTTTTACGAACCGATATCGATTCTTAAATCTCAAGAATCGATTAGTCATCCTGTTTCATTTGAATGAATGGATCATTGTATCACGGCTGCCGCATCCAAAAAATCGCAATAATCTTTGTCCTTTGTTACTATTGATATGAAACAAAGTCTTAATTTTTAAATTACGTCCATTTTCTTTAGAAATTCAAAAACATAAATAGCGTTTTGTCGCTGTGGCGAGAGATCGCTCTGGAGAAGCAGCAGCGCTGATCTCTCTTCCGGCTTAATAATACCAGTCACAGCGCCAAATAAACATGAATGAGCATCTGAAAGTGTGTTAAAGATAGAGTACAACTTATCCAAATCCGTATCATGTCACATTGATTCGCTCAATCAGCGTTTCAACCGTGGAAAGACGTCAGTTAAACAGCTTGTAATCAATGTCATCGTCATATTTACCTCAGAAAACCCACATAAACTCGTTAGTCAGCTAGAAAAAAAAACTCTATAGAGGAGCATTTTGCTAAATATATACACCATATTACATATGCATTATAATCTTAATGTTCTTCAATATTTAATGCATATTTGAATAAATCTGGCAAGTTTTTATGACAGCCACCATTTAAATGTTTATATTTCATTTAATCTTCTTATTATAAAAATAAATAAAAGTGTAATTTAAGTGTCTGTATAGCTAGAAAACAGTTCATTATTACCTTCATAATAGGCTAATGAAGTCTATAGGCTACAACTAGACTCCCATAGTTTACATAGTTAAGAGATTCGATTCCCTTGAGAAAAATGGCCATTTATTGTAACTGATATCCAAAATAATCAATATTGAATCGAATCGGAATCAAATCGAGTTGCAAGCTTGTGAATCGAAATCGAATCAAATTGTGAATTTGTCTCAATACCCAGCCCTACAGAGTAACCAGTGCAGGCCAGTTCACACACACCAGCACAAGTCATCAGTTGATCAGTTTGAGTCCTGTGCTGAGTAGAGTTCATCAGAGCGGTTGCGAGATCTGACCCTGTGCTCCTGAATCTCCATTTGCAGGCCCAGCAGTGCAGGCCAGTGTCCATCTGCCAAGAGAAGCCTGATGTTACCCAATCACTCCACTCCCTTTAAAAAGGTGCGCCCGACTCTGGACTACGGCGGCTGGAACAAGCCCAGGCCGTCCGCTCTGGCTCAGCCTCAGCCGCCTCTGCAAGGGTGAGTGTCGGACACGGTTCCCCAACACTTTTCATGTTTTTCAGTTGATTTTCCCCAAAAATATATCAGTTATGGTGTAATCGAACAGGTTAGGATGCTTCTGATTCTTTTGAAAAGCACATTATTTCCCCCGCACATTGCTGCAGCTCCTCTATTCCCCGGTCCGTCTGGAGGCCGAGATCGCTCTGATTGGCCGGCTGACCTCATGCCTGTTTGCTTCTCCTGTAGATTCTCCAATCTGGGCAACACCTGCTATATGAACGCCATCCTGCAGTCCCTCTTCAGCCTGCCCTCGTTCTCCAACGACCTGTTGAAGCAGGGCATCCCGTGGAAGAGGGTCCCCGTCAACGCCCTCCTGAAGTACGGCTCTCGCCCCTCTAATAACCACTCGTTTCACACACTCCTTAAAGATAGGGCTGCACGATTAGTCACATGATTTGTGATTTAGTTTGTGTAGTTTGTCTGTTTAGCTGTATCTGAATAAACAGAAGATCGAAGCGCTTTGATTAAACACACAACGGCCTTATTCTGT